AAAATGATTTTATGAAAACCTGGGATTTGTAATTAAGCCTAAGTTCTTTAGGTGTGCCATTGATAAATGTTTCTAAAAGACCTTAGGGTTTGCAGATTCTTTGTTTATAAGGTTTGCCATTGATAAATGTTTCTCAAAACAAACAAAAGACAAAATATAAGCTAAAATACCTAAAATGCCCATTCACTCAAGTATAGTATTACAGTATACCTTTACTCTGTCATAGGGCATACGACTAGACTCAAAGCAGATTCTTTGTTGATAAGGTTTGCAAGATTCCTGACAACCTTATCTTTTTGTTTTAGTCTCCCTTTTTTTTATTATTTGGAGACCAGTATTTCTTTGTCTTTTCCAGCTTCTTGCATTTCTGAGGATTCTCCCATGGAACAATTATCCGAAGGAGTTTGTTGGCCAAAAAATCCATTTGCTTCATAAATTTCTTTATGCCTCTTTTCTTTTTGGCAGAATTGTACTAATTTATTATTGGTTTCTATAGGGAAAGGTATGAAAAGATTTCCATTTTTCGATGGTAAATATAGCTTTGTATCGTGGGTTTCTTTGATGAGGTTATACTCTACTTCATCAGATTCAGAGGAAAACCATTGATATCCCATGACTTGGGCTCTGTACAAGCTGTATTGGTAATGGGTATTACCTTGGACATCCCAAAGTTCATATCCATCATTAATTAATATGCAAGGGTAGTCTTTGTGTTCGTCAGTCAACAATTTCATAACATGAGTTGGGTATTGGTTTTGTGTGAAACTGCTGGGGCAAGTTACTATTTTTATGGTTATATGACACATAAAAACAGCCTGTATTGTGTTGATGCTTCATTTATTAAGGGGTTGAATCCATCGAATCTTTTTGTTGGATGGATCAAAACTGAGTCCAAGCATCCATAATCCAATAATGTCTTTGTGTTTATGGTCATGTCTTCAAAAGCTATAGGCCTAAAGTTTTCTAAGTCAAGTTTTTCCTTTCTGAATTGGAACTTGACCTTGCAAGGACATTTTCTATTAGATATATCCTTGTATAGTTGAGATTCCTCCAAGCATTCAAATCTGCAGTTGAAATAGCTTTAGACAGCTGTGTACATCCCTGCTATTATTTGGGAATCTTTATGGACCTTCATGAGGAATTTTTGTATCACCAACAGGTTTTTGAGATTTAGTTCATTTGGTGAAGATGGATTTTGTCTCACAGCCTCTTGGAAACTTTGGGGCTGAGTTTTTGTTGGGCTAGATCTAATAACACCTATTTCGGACTTTGGATTAAGAGCCTTTTTTATTTTTGTAGTGTCAATAGTATTTAGCTCTAAAGCTTTTTTTGCCTCTTCTTTAGAATAAAAACCTTTGTATCTGGGATTTTGTAGACCTTCCTTGGCAATGCACAAGTCAATGAAGTTTGTGTATATCCTTTTATATGGTCCTGATAGTAGAACGAAATATGTATAACCTTTACCAGAAGGTGAGGTTTTTGTCAGGAGTGGAACTCTTTGGTTATCTGCTACGCAAAAATTGTATAAGTGATCCCTCTTTTTATTGAACAAACATACTATTCATTATGTTTTGAACATTTGGGGATGTTCCAAATATTATCAATTATGCAATTGAATTTATCATTTATAGTTCTTCTACTAAGGTAGTGAAACTCATTTGTTAAAATTGGTAATTCTTGATTACCAAATTTCATCTTTTGCTTGACATTTGGATACGAAACCTTGAAGGGTTTCATTGTTTATCATTCCTAAAAACGAGATAAAATATTGACAGCAATGTTTTTCTTTCCTTTTATATGTTCAAAATTTATTTTTAACCCATTATAGTATACATGTTCTTGAAACAACAACCACCTTTTATGGGGTTTTTTTTATCAGAATTTATTTGAGATTTACCATAAGTAACTATTAATTTACAATTAGTTCTTATTATAATCTCGTTTTTATTTATTAAAAATATTTCAATAGTTTTTAAACTATTTATAACAACATTTATCATAATATGTTGAAGTAGAATAAATATGAGGTTTTGCATGATATTTTATTGAAGCATATCTATAGATTTGTTCTTCAAATATATTATCATATTTATTCTTCTTTTTCTTTAAGATAACACCCCATCCTAACTCACATTTATCGCATTTTATGACTGGATAATCTGTATCCAATGGTAAAGATAAAGAAGACAAATTTTTGACCATTTCTTTTATTAGTTTAACTAGTTTTATATCCTCCGTGTTAAACTTCCTTTATCCGGTCAAACTAGTTTTATTATACAAAGGTGTTGTATATTTTCCTAAGTCCCTTATAAAATTTCTTGCATAATTTAAAAGTTCTAAGCAAGCTCTTAGGGTTTTTATATCTTCCATTTTATCAGGAAAGACAAGAATTTTTTTGTGAAATATGGGGTTAGAGTTTAATTTTTTCGTTCCCTATTGGGTTTTACAAATTTTCATTTTGATTTAGAAATTATAAGACCATATTTTTCAAATAGATAAAGAGCCTATTTCAAATGTAAGAAGTGTTCTTCTTTTAATTTTGAAAATACTAGTACATCATTTATATATGTACAAGTAAAATCTTTGTATTCTCCAAAAATATTATCCATTTTTCTTTGGAAAATTTGTGGAACATTTTTTAAACCAAAAAAAAGGCATAACTTTCCATTCGAAAATCTCTTCAGAACAAGAAAAAATAGTCCATTTTATTGAATCATGGTGCATCTTTACCTGATGAAATTCTAATTTTAAGTCAAATTTAAAAAACTATTTTACTTTTTGAATTCTATCTATTAAAATATCCTTAAAAAGTATAGTATATTTATCTATATGAGTATTGTCATTTAGACGTTTGTAATTATATACCATTCTAATTTTTCCCCATTTTTGTTTCTAATGTTTATTAATTATAAAAGTTTAACTCTATGTGGACTAGTGCGTTACCTTTAAATATACAATATTAGCATAAGTATGTTACTTCTACTTCCACAAATAATATAATAGATTGGATATTTATAGGGACGAATGCTTGTGGTATAATGGGGGCCATGGCTATCCTATAAAAAAATGTGGATAATTTTTTTTATATATATTTTATTAATTTATTTTCTTATATTTTAAGTTAATTAAAATAAAAATGAAATAATAAAAAAATATACTAATAGAATTATAATTATGAAAACAAGTTTCTAGACATATTAAAATTATAATTACAATTTTTAATATAATTTTTTTTATAAATCAAAATGCTTTTTATATTAATTAGCAAAAAAAAAAAAAAAAAACTTCCAATTTTATTGAACCAAAATTGCAACAAACGAATAATTATACTTCCGTAATTTGTAATTATGTGCATTGCATCTAGACTTTACTCTAAGAAAGCAAACGTTAGTATGCTAGCTCCTTGAAAGTAAAAGCGAGAAAATTAATTAACCACATCTTTTTCATTTCGCAGTCACTTAGTGCAAGTAACTCATAACTACGTTTATTTTCAAATCCCACATTCTAACATTTGAACATTTCCACCAAGCCACCACGAGTTCACTATTCACGACAGTTAATTATTTTGGTGAATTATTTTGTTGCTTCTATGTGTTTTAGAGTCTTAGTTGCAAACTTACGGTGATTACTAATCAAACTTTTTTTTTTTTTTTAACTTTTTTTTGTTGATAAATTACTTTATTCTGTTTAATTTATATTATAAATTTTTTTTTATCAATTTATTAATTTTAAAAATATATTTATATATAACAGCCCCTTTATAAAAATTAAGCTAGCTCCGCAATTTATTTATATATAATAAATAGTAGAAAGGATTATTTACTGTATTGCCTTTCATTCATATATAAAGTTATCAGCACTGACAATATATTAATATGTTGGAGTACAGTGTCATGATAAACAAACCAAAAATTACCTGCATGTGGGCCACCATATTAAACACCCAATCAAATTTTATATTCATAGATAATTGAGTATTTTTATCCATATTTACGAAGATAAAATTTATTTAAGCGATCATGGAATTAATATTTGACCGTAAGTTGTAAAAGAAAAATACATCATTTGAAGGAAAGAAAAAAAAAAAGAAAAACAAAGTGAGTATATTTTTTAAATTTTAAACTAAGAGAATTATATCATTTTGTTGTCTTTTTTATTTTCGAAAAATATTAAAAATATTGTGTATATCTTTGTTCGTCTGCAAAGCTTGCGTTCAAGAAACACCACCATAAAATATTTTCTTTCTTATGAATGTAAAGATACACTACACTAAAATTAGTAATTAATTTATTTTTTAATAATCATATAAATAATTATTATTTTTTTATCAATATTTAAATAATGGTTGGTGTATGCAGGATCGTTAATACTATTATCAGTATTTATATAAAATATTGGTAAAGACCTATTACATTATCGAGAAAACTTATTTTTTTTAGTGACAATTCTAGTAGTCATTTTAAAGACTATTAAAAGTTATTTTTTTTAATTGTCTCCTTTCCATTTATTTAGTGACTTTTATCTTTTACTAGTAAAATTTTAAATAATTTATTCATATAATTTCCTTTTACTAAATTCATAACTTATATACTTTATATACTTTTTTATTTCTAGTCGATGTGAGATTTATAAGATGAGAGTTGTCATCTATTTTTATATTTTTTAATTGTCTTTTCTCTTAAGTGATGTGAGATTTATAAGGTAAAAGTTGTTATCTAATTATTTTATAGCACTATTGAACTTGGTAATAGTGAATGATTTGATACCAATTTAGAATAATGAATTATGAATCTAACTTAATCTTATAATTTTTTTTAATAAATAACTATCACTAATAATAAACTTTAATATAATATAAATATATTTTTAATAACTATTATATATTAATTATTAATATTTTTATTATATAATTAAATAATAATAATAATTAAATTATTGTTATTAAATAATTATGTTAATAATAAATTTTGTTATATTTTTTATATTTGTTTATTTCACAGAAACATGGAGATGGTAAATGCGAACCCATCAACATCACAATCGCTGGCTTCTGATCAATTTGCAAGCACACTTTCTCTTGAGTTAACAACATTATCACCACAAGCACATGTGATTCAGATTGCTTCTCCTCAACTTCGACATCCTTATTGTCACATGTTGCAAGATAAAAGTACTCTCTCCTATATTTTTATTCATACATATAAAAATGCATGTAGTTTCATTTTACTGCTAGTAATTTAAAAATAATACTAATAACAGCAACAATTAAGCCTTGCATTTTATAATTAGGACAGCTATCAATCATATAATGTCGCAAATTTTGTTTTCTAATTTTTAATCAATGCAATTTATTAAATATATTCATCAATCCACAAATTTTGTTTTCTAATTTTTAATCTATGCAATTTAGTAAATATATTCATCAATATCCACCGACGATATGTTATATTGCATTATCTGTAAAAACAAAAATGGTACTATATGCATTTATTAATGTACTATAAAACTTGTAGCTCTAATTATTTAGTGATAGTAATTAACTATTGCATTATCTGTCAGAACAATGGTATTATATGCATTTATTAATGTACTGTAACACTTGTGAGTTGTCACTCTATATTTATAATATAGTACTATATGTGCATATATTAATATATATTAATGTACTGTAATACTTGCGACTCTATATTTATTCAGTGATAGTAACATCACTTTAAAAAAAAAAAACTTTCTGCCCACTCCACCCCAACACTGACAAGACACCTCACCAAATGCCAAACTTCCAACAACCATAGACGATGTTCCAACAGTTAAAGTGTGTACGAAAATTAGTTGAATTTAATTTAATTAAAATTAAGAAAAAAAATTATGCTTACAAATTTTTACTCTTATATCAGAATGTGCGTTTTTTCTCATAACGTAATTTTAAATTAATATCTAAACATGCAACTAATAATTCCATTTTGCAACATTAAAGTATCCACATATTTTATTTTATATTGCAAATCCAACACTATGATAGTACAAGATGAACCCCAGTAAGCATGGTGGGCGGTGGTAAGACATTATTCTAACTTATCTAGTAGTCTAAAAAAATTTAGTGGCACAAATTAATGTAATTGTGTTTGAACTTAGTTGGGAGGATTTTGATTTTAGTAACCTTAAGCCTACTAAAGTCTAAATATTTGTAAGTTGTATAGTAATAAATTTGTAAATTTTATTTATAATAAATAGTTATAAATACAAATATTTAAGTTTTACATACATCATATATTTATAGATAAAATATTTTTTATTTTATTCGTGTTAATTATGACTCAAAATTTAACGTATATCATTTGTATGTTCTGTAAAATCTTTTGATTGTACATATTTATAAGTTAATTTATCTCTATTCATCTAATAGGTTCAGAATATACATTCAGTCTGTCCCCATTAGTTTGATGGGTTTAGTCTCTCTCTCTCTCTCTTTTTATTTTTTAAGACTTAGTCTTAGTTTGGGAATCATTTCTAAGCACAACAAAAAGTAAGAAAGTGTGAAAGCAAAGTGTTAAATATGAGCATAGAGAGCTAGAAAGAAGATACATAGAAAGGAATAGAGAGATCAAGGGGTTTTTGAGAAAAGCAAGAGTTACTTTGTTATAAAAACTTGATCTTGTCTTCAAATAGTGGAATTTACTCTCTACTACGGATGTAGGCCAAATTGGCTAAATCACGTAAATCTGTTGTATTCTCTTCTCTTTATCTTTTTCGTTTTGTTATTGCATTTTCTATGTTTACATTTTTACGTTCTTATTGGCTTTTCTCGTTTCTACATTTTTTGCTTGTTCTTGCATAAGGTTTGTTTTGTTTGTTTTCATTCTTGTTTTAGAAGCAACAAGTGGCGTTGTCTATGGGGAAAAAAGAAAGAAAAAGGAATACCGAATCATGGGAATAACCAGGTAAGATATCAAGAAGTTTTTGGGGAGCAATGACTTTGGATTATGGAAGATAATAAAGATGGAAGTTATCTTGGTACAATAGGGAGTTGTAGAAGCTCTAAGGTGAAAATGTCTTGATCATTGTCATAGAAAGAGAAGAATGAGATGATTAATAAGGCAAAAAGTATTATCATCTTGTGTCTTGGTGATAAAGCCCTAAGGAAGTTCGCAAGAGAAAAGATAGTTGCTACCATATGGTCAAGCTAGAATCTTTATACATGATAAAGTCTTTGGCAAACTGTTTATGTTTGAAGCAATAACTTTACTTTTTCAAGATGATAAAAGCAAGATCAGTTCAAGAACAACTTGGACATTTTAACAACATTTTTATGACTTGGAAAACATTAAGGTGAAGATGAGGATAAAGCTTTACTCTTACTCAACTATTCACCGAAATCCTTTAAGCATTTCAAGGATGCTATTCTATTTGGAAAAGATCAAGCCATTACTTTGGATGAGGTTTAAACCTCAATTTGGACTAAGGAACTTCAAAATAAGAAAAAATTGAAGACAAAGGGTAGTGGTGAAAACTTGAACGTCTCAACGGGGAAGAGTGAGAAGAAATGACCAAAGGGAAACAAGTCTATATCAAAATGGAAGAGCAACACAAATTTTAAGCCTAGATGTTATATCTGTCGTAGGATTGGTCATTACAAGAGAGACTATCCTAAGAAAAGAGGCAAGGAATTCAAAACTGTATGGATTCTTTAGATGTCACTATTGTTTCATATGGTTATGAGAGTGTAGGGGTGCTAGTGACATCAACATCAAAAACGTAAAGGAATTGGGTTATGGATTCTTGATGTATCTACCACATATGTCCTATGAAGGATTACTTTGAGACTTTGGAACCCAAAGAAAGGGAGTGGTACTTCTTGGAAATAACAAAGCTTGCAAGGTGCAAGGTATGTGTATTGTCCATTTGAGAATGTTTGATAACTGTGATATTCTATTACGATATGTGAGGTATGTCCTTGAACTTAAGAGGAATTTTCTATCAATAAGAATGTTTGTTTGAGGTATTTTACTAAAATTGAACATGGTATGATGGAGATCTCTAATGGAGCCGTAATAGTTGCTAAGGGAACTAAAAGGAATGGTCTGCACATTCTTGATGGTTATACTATTAATTCTTATGTAGTTGTAGCAAGTCGAACTCTACATGATATATAAAACAAAGCTATGACATTTAAGGCTTGGGCATGTCAGTAAAAAAGGTTTAGTGGAACTAGAAAACTAAAATCTATTGAATGGTGATAATTTAGATAAACAAGATTTTCGTGATCATTGCATATTAGGAAAATATCATAATGTTAAGTTTGAGACTAATATGTATGTTTCTAGTAGACCCTTTGAGTATGTTCACTTGAATCTGTGGGGTCCTTCAAGGGTGAAGACTAATGGAAGAGGTTCTTATTTTCTCACCATGATTGATGATTTTCAAGAAGAGTATGAATTTATATTTTGAAAAATAAATCTGAAACTTTTCAAAAAATTTAAAGAATGACACACTTTTGTAGAAAATCAAATAGGAACCAAATTAAAGGTTTTAGGACTAACATGGCCTGGAGTTTGTTTTAGAGCAATTTAATGAGTTTTCAGGAAATAGGGAATTAAAAGGCATAAGACTATAATTCATAATCCTCAGTAAAATGGTCTAGCTGAAAGGATGAATAAGACCATTTTGGAAAGTGTGAAGCTTATGTTGTTGGGTGTAGGGTTGCCTAAGAGTTTTCAGGGCAAAGATGCAAATACTATAGTGTATTAGATAAACAGATGTCTGTCTTCAACTTTAAGTCTCAAGACACCTATGGAAAAGTGGAGTGGTAAACTAGCGAACTATTCAAATTTGAAGGTTTTTGGTGCTCTAACTTTTGCTCATATCAAGTAAGAAAAACTTGAGACTCGAGTTGTGAAGTGTATCTTCATTGATTATCTCGAGGGTCTAAAGTGTTACAAGCTGTGGAAGGTGGATCCTGGTGAGTTAAGATGCTTTATAAGCTGAGATGTGCAAATGCCTGATGATGTGCAAATGCCTGGAAGAAAGCAACTAAAAAACAATAAGGAAAAAACTCAGTTTGAGGTAGAGTCTCCTACTAGTGATTCTAGAAATAGTATTACACCAACAAATGGTGTGTACTAGTAGACAATTTACATCTACTAGTTAAAACTATCAATTGACAAGAGATAGGACTAGGAGGAATATTGTACCTCTTAAGAAATTTGGGCATGTTGACCTTATTTGTTATGCTTTTACTATGGTTGAAAAGATACAAGACTTAGAACTAAGAAATTATAAAGAGGCTATGGAGAGTAAGGAAAAATAATATTGGTTGCAAGCTTTTAATGAAGAAATGGAGTACTTGGATAAAAATCAGACTTGGAAGCTTATGGATCTACCTAAGAATCAAAAAGCAGTTGGATGCAAATAGATCTTCAAGAAAAAAGGAAGGTATTTCATGTGTGGAGAAGGCAAGGTACAATGCAAGACTTGCGGCAAAGGGGTTTATCTAGGAAGAAGGAATTAACTATAATTTTCACCTGTGATAAAACATTATTTTATAAGGATTTCAATGGCAATTGTGAATCAATATGATCTAGAAGATTATCTATATATAACAACTAGAGGGGTTTGCAGATGACAAATCTAATGTCTATCTCTTGAGAAAATCACTTTATGGCTTGAAATAAAATATGTGTCTACGGTATGAGAAGTTTGATGATTTTATGTTAAGCTAGGGTTTTTTGGGGAGCAATTATGACAATTATGTTTACATATTAAAAAGAGGAGAAAGAAGTGTTCTTTTCTTGTTACTATATGTGGATGACATTCTGGTAGTAAGCTCTAGCAAGGATGAGATTGTTATGCTCATTGCTTAAAGGAAAATTAAATTTTGAGTTTGAGATGAAAGATCTCAATGCTGCTAAGAGGATACTCGAGATGGATATTGTAAGAATCAAGTTAGATGGAGAATTATTTTTATCTTAAATAGTTACATACAAAAGGTAGTTGAGAGGTTTAGGATGCATCAATCTAAACCTATTAGTTCTCCTTTGGGTCATCATACAAAGCTCTTTATCGCACAAGCTCCTAGTACTGAAGAGGAAAGGAGGGAGATGTGTTCTTTCATATGCAAGTGGAGTAGGGAGTATCATGTATGGCATGATTTGTAGCGCAGACCTAATTTGGCTTATGCTATTAGCATTGTAAGTCGATTTATGGAAAATCCGGATCAAGCTCACTTGGAGGCTTTGAAGTGAATACTAAGGTATTAGAATGGTTCCTAAAAATTTGGTTTGAGGTATGAGAAGACAATTCAAGATGGAGAAGCTACTATGGGTTATATTGATGTAAACTGTGTAGGAAATGTGGATACCAGGAAATTTTTTATCTGGGTATATGTTCACTTTGTTTAGAATTATAGTTAGTTGAAAGAAAATTTATAACCTATGGTAGATATGTCAACAACTCAAGTAGAATACATTTCTCTTACTAAAGGAGTGAAGGAAGTTTTTTGGTTAAAAGGGATGATTAATGAATTGGGTGTATCACAAAATTGTGTGACAATTCACTATGATGGCCAAAGTGTTATACACCTTGTAAATCATCAAGTTTATCATGAGAAAATGAAATACATTGTTATAAGACTTCACTTTATTAGAGATGTTGAATTTGGAGAAATTTAGATTAAGAAGATTGCGTTTGAAGACAATCCTACTGATGTGTTTACAAAATCTCTTTTAACATCTAATGTCAAACATTGCTTGGACTTAATCAACTTCGTTTGATATTCGTTTTGAAGTGGGAAAGAAATATTGTTGTGAAAGGGTTCATTTCTATAGATTTAGAGTCAAGGTAGAGAATTATCAATTATGACTCAAAATCTGATGCATCATTTGTATGCTTTGTAAATTCTTTCTTTTGTACAGTCCTATAGGTTCATTCTGTCTCCATTTGTCTGATGGGTTCAAACTATACATTCAATCTGTTTCCATTAGTTTGATAGGTTCAGCTTGTCTCCATTAGTCTAATAGGTTCAATTTGTCTTCATTAGTCTAATGAATTTAGTCTATTTTTTTTCGATAAGACTCAGTCTCAATGTCTTGGATCCTTACATATATTTGTTTGGGAATCATTTCTAAGTGTGACACGGATAAAGAAAGCGTGAAAGCAAAGTGCAAAGTATGAGCATGGATAGCTAGGAAGAAGATACATAGAGATGAACGGAGAACTGAATAGAGAGATCAATGAGTTTCTAAGAAGAGTAAGAGTTACTCTGTTGTAAAGATTGATCTTGTTTTCAAATAGTAGAATTTGTTCTCTCCTATGGATGTAGGCCAAATTGACTGAATCATGTAAATCTGATGTGCTCTCTTCTTTTAATCTTTTTCATTTTATTATTGCATTTTTTGCATTTACGTTTTTAGGTTCTTGTTGAATTTTCTCATTTCTATGTTTTTGGTTGTTCATGCATATGATCTATTCTATTTGTTTTCTTTCTTGTTTTAGAACCAACAACATGCAATCCTCATATCTATAAGAACAAAACATCTATAAGTATAGGTTATTTTTCTTTTGATGGATGATCAAGCCTAAAATTAATACCCCATGCACTTACAACTATTTTATATGTAAATATACTTATTTCGGCTGATGAGCTCAATGAAATCTTGCATTTGAATTTCTTCAGAGGAATACTTAGAGAAGTGCATACCCCTTTATAAGCTAGCCCTGAGAGGTGACTGGAATGCAGCCAAGAAAATGATTGATGCAGACAATAGGCTATTAAACGCTGCAATAACAAAGGAATGGGGTACACTACTTCATGTTGTGGCAGGAACAAAGCATGTTCACTTTGTTGATAAGCTGCTTAAATTACTAAACCCAAATGACTTGGAATTGCGAAATTTCAATGGAAACACAGCGTTCTGCTATGCTGTTGCATCTGGAAACCTGCAAATTGCAGCTATTATGATGAAGAAAAATCCATGCCTAGCAAAAATAAGGGGTGGAGAAGAAGCCACTCCTCTTTACATGGCTGTCTTACAGAGAAAAGGTGACATGGCAAGGCATCTCTACCCACTGAGTAGAGACATTTTGGGAGAAGATGACTGGACTACACTGTTCTTCCTTTGCATCAAGAATGATTTGTATGGTTAGTGATCATTGCCCCCTAGTATATATGTGCTTCATTCATGAACGTTTAAATGGTCACATGTTACTTGATAAGCATCATAGTCATCATATAACTAGTGAGAGGATTATTTATACCACTTATTATAAGACACGAAATCTTAAATTAATTTAGCCTTTTAAATTTTTCTTTTTTACTTTTAACAAATAAGTGAAATTCATTTAATTTATGTACAAATAGTCTATTTTTTATTTTTGAAATAAAAAAACTTTAAAAACATATATTATGTACCTCATTAGTTTAAGAGTAGTTTTGGAAACAGATAGAAATTTAAAATATATTTATCGATCTTAACAACAACAACAAAAATACAAATAACATCTTTTTTTAATCTTGATAAATTAATTATTTAAATCATATGAGAAAGACATGAAGTAATTTAAACATGACAAATTAACATGCATGAATTTGTAGGATTAAAAGTTATTGAATAATCTTGTAAAGGTATAGTTATTTAACAATCGTATGATTACTCTAAAAAGTAGTCTGCCTTTCTTTTATTTTTATGTTTTTTTGTTTTAACCTTTCGTTATTCCTTTCAATTGTCAAGATTTTTTTCCTTTCACACTCACGTTATGACTTAATTCTAATATTTCCTAATATGATTGAATGGTCAAGATTCACACATCTTATATTTTATGATTTAATTTTAACCCTTTGAAACATTTTTTAATGGTGTTTTACTCTTTTGCATTTTGTCATAATAAATGTATCTTAATTCCCTCTCTTGTATTTTTCTTTATCGTCCAAACTTGTCATAAATTTTGAAAAAAGAAACAAAAAAACAAGTTCATTGTTGTTAGCTTAGTTTTATAGTCCACTTTTCAACGGAGACATTTTTTATTTTTTTTAAAATATGCAAAATTAAGAAATTTTAATTTTTATATATAAATCAAATTAAGCACATGCCAAGATCAAGTATAAAATACGTGAGTCGCGCGTTTACAATAATATAATTCAATCGAACATCCCTTTAGCGTTTGACAAAGTTATCCTTCGTATAGCCCAAAAAGGGAACATGACGCTAACTTGGCCGAGGGTATTTCCAACTCTCAGATGCACTAGCACTGCCTAGATATCCATGGCTCTGCAAGAATATTGCAATAGATTCTAGTCTTTACCAAAATCAGCACTATGGTGTGCACTGTATTAAAGTTTCTTTGCCTAATTCATTTTCCTAACAGCCTTCATAAAATCTTCATGGATCACGTAATCATCCTCTGCACGGATTGCTTCTGTGCAGGCATTTCGAAGATCAGCCCCATTAGTGTTCTCTGAATCTCACGATCAGCACTTGTTCCCTCACTGAAACGAAGACCACCAATGGCATCCATAAAAATGATGCAGGGCTGGTGATCACGAGCATAACCAAACATCTCTCTCCTATGTACTTATCTATTATGGCACTTGAAACAACCTTTAGGAAGTTAGCATCTATATTACTGGCAATTGCCCTAGCTAACCCAGTACAAGGAGGCCCATAAAGGAGAACACCCTTTGGAGGTTTAATTCCAACTCGAAGAAATAGCTCAGGATTCATCAGAGGTAGTTCAATTGATTCCCTCAATTCCCTCATCTGATCAGATAAACCGCCAACTTCATGCAGGATCTTCGTGCAGCATATTGTAAACTACTGGATCAACTTCCCGAGGAAGAGCTCGCATTAAGGTGAGTGTTGTCATATCAAGAACCACCCTTGTCCCAGTCGAAGTCAATTTTTCCTTATCCACTTTACTGCGGCAACCAACCACATACCTGGTACCGCTGCTTGCTTTAACAATCAAGCGCTCATTGTCAAGAGGCCGGAGAACTTCGCCAATGATCTGCATCTGCCCAACACTTTGAAGAGACTTCAAATCATCTTCTGTTTTATTGAAATAAATATTAATTATGGTAATATATAAAATATGTTATTAAAATTCATTTAAAATTATGTATAATTATATATTAAATAAATATGTACTTACATATTTTATATTTATAATAACACTTTTTAATATGTTGGTGTGCATGAAATATTTCTTGTAATATTTAAAAAATTTTGCAGATCTTGCTTTGCAAATGTTACGAGAACAGTCAATGCTAGCATTGGCCCGGGATGAGTATGATGAGACAGGCTTGCATATCTTGGCTCGAAAGCCTTGTGATTTAAGTTCTCCAGGTCAATGGTATCTTCAAAGCAAGATCATGAACTCTAGTAAGTCTTTACAATCACACTACTATTTGAATTAATTGAAAAATGTTGGCGACTTTTTTTTTTCAGTTATTAACAAAAATTTCTTAAAAATTACAAATTTTGGTGGATCTTATGTCTCATTTAATGAATAATTCTTGATTTAATAATAAAATTTATTTAAATTTATGATTTTTAATAAAGTTGAATTAATTGAAAAATGTTGGCGACTTTTTTTTTTTCAGTTATTAACTAAAATTTCTTAAAAATTACAATTTTTGGTGGATCTTATGTCTCATTTAATGAATAATTCTTGATTTAATAATAAAATTTATTTAAATTTATGATTTTTAATAAATTAAAATCAATAACAAAAATAATGTAGGGTTCATGTTCTCACTATGCTATGTTTATTATAAATTGTGGATAATCTTATTGATCCATAACTTTTAAGGTAATTTATGTAAAAACAAAATTTAGATATAAACTACAAATACTTTGATATTATCTTTAATTAGAATTATAGTTCCACTTTAGCAGTATGTGTAAATGCATATTATCAAGGTAGAATTTTATTTTTGATTGGAAAACATTACCAATAAATAAATTTGATATTACTGTATTTAAATTTTGTTCTATATAAAATTGTGGATAATCATATTGATTCATAACTTTTAAGGTAATTTATGTAAAAACAAAATTTAGATATAAACTACAAATACTTTGATATTATCTTTAATTAGAATTGTAGTTCCACTTTATTAATATGTGTAAATGCATATTATTAAGGTAAAATTTTAGTTTTGATTGGAAAACATTACCAACAAATAAATTTGATATTACTGTATTTAAATTTTGTTCTATATGTATAACAGGGGTCGTTAACCATAGTATAGTGTGGAATTAAAACATTGATTAATTGCTTCAACCAGAAAATTTACTTCATAATAGTTATGTGATGCATCACTGAATAGGCTTGGACCCAACTCCATTCGTTCACAATATAGTGCAATGTACCAAAAAAAAAATGCAATAGTGCCTTGACATGTAATATTCGACAACTTTCTTTAAAAAGCTACAAATTAAAAAAGAAACTACTTATTCTTAAATTTCTGAATTTTTGAAGAGCTTTGAAATTGACCATCCTTTCCTATTTTATGGGTTTTGTATTTTAGAGACTCCAATTCCAACATGCATGAACAAGCACATATTTGTTTAGATTATATATATATATATATAACAGGGGTCGTTAACCATAGTAGTGTAGAATTAAAACATTGATTAATTGCTTCAACCAGAAAATTTACTTCATAATAGTTATTTCATGCATCACTGAATAGGCTTGGACCCAACTCCATTCGTTCAACTTGTTGGGTGTCTTTGGAGCATGCTTCTCGATCAAGATTTCGATGAAATGGAGATGAGGACGTTCATAAGTCGACCAACACAAATAACATTTGATGCTACAGAAGTTGGAAATTTTCACTTTGTAGCTACGCTTATGAGGTCTTACCCTGATTTATTGTGGGAAGTGGATGCCAAAAATCGAAGCATAATGCACATGGCTGTTGTACATCGCCATTCAACCATCTTCAGCCTAATACATGAACTAGGCTCCTTCAAAGATTTCATAGCAACTTTTGAGGACGACCAAGGAAACAACATATTGCATTATGCTGCTAAATTGACACCTTCTAATAAGCTTAGGTTCATTTCTGGTGCAGCTCTTCAAATGACACATGAATTACTATGGTTTGAGGTATATATATTAATACTTCTCACAACTCACAATTTATGTCGTATTAGATTATCTATATATAAGATAAGATTCTCTTGATAAGTTTAATCATTCCTTTCTTTTAAGATTCATTTCAAATTGTATTTTGTATTAATTTTTTAAATTAAAATACCCTTAATTAATTTATAATCTTTAAACAATAACTATTATCTTCTCTTCACACGTTAGGTAAAAAAATGTGATATAATCAGTTCCAATAACTTTTTAAGGATAATTTTTTTTTAAAAAAAAAGTACTACTGTTAACAATTTAATATCATCAACTGAATTAGCTAATTTGATTTTCTTAATTCTTCTAAACTAGTTAAAAGAGTCTTGCATATAGGCATATAATCTTATGCAAATATTGACCTTTTATCCTTTCATTTCTTTCTACATCGTGATGATTTCTAATAACTCTTAAGCATGATTTTATGATATGTGAAAACCATTATATATGGAGTTTAATTTTAATGTGTTGACAATACTTTTTTTTTTTTTACATCATCAACAAGTTATAAACCACTTTACATATAACTAAAGTTATTATTATAAAAGTCAATAATAATATTATTATATATAGGTTTAGTGTATTCAAATTAAAGAAAATCTTATATATGATTACTATATAGTGTAACGTTATACTTTGATATGGAAGGAGGTGAAGAAAATAATGCTTCTACAAGATACAGAGAAGAAAAATGCTGAAGGCAAAACTCCTAGTGAAATATTTGCTGAGGAGCACAAAGAGTTATTGACAAAGGCAGAGTCATGGACCAAGAGCACAGCAAATAATTGCATGCTTGTTTCTACACTCATAACCGCAGGAGTGTTCACAGCCACATTTATAATACCTGGAGGCAACAATAAAAGTTCAGGAACTCCAAACTATTTCCAGAAAGCAGCATTTCATGTTTTTGCAGTATCAGTTGCATGTGCACTGATATCAGCAGTGGCCTCCATTCTAATGTTCTTGTCAATCCTCATTTCAAGTTATGCTCAAGATGATTGCTTCAAGACTCTCCCTTTCAAGTTGCTATTTGGAATGGTGGCACAAATCATCTCCATCACTAGCATGATGGTAGCATTTAGTGCTGCTTTTTACACAACGTATTCCATTGGTTTAACGTGGGTTCCAATTTTTATTTCTGTGCTTTCATTTCCTCCTATACCCTTGTTCACATTTCTTATATTTCCACTTTGGTCAGATATTTTCCACTCATCTTACTTTTGTATGTATCTATTTAGGCCAAGAAAATAAATGGTTAAGGTCATCTCCATTCCAGAGCAACACATGTGTTCATTATTAATTAATCCTTTATATTTAATTTTTGTTTATTCGAGCAACTCAATTCTTCACTCAACAATTCTAAAAAACAATTACTAAATAGGTTCAAAGATAATCATACATATCTTTACATTTTATCAATATATATCATAAAAATACAAGCGTGTAGGTTCACAAAAGTTTGCGAGTTGGAGTTTATTATATAAGCACTTTTTATTTCATTATTGTCTAACAAAATATTTATTTAATATCTATTAATTTTTAAATCGCATCGATGCTTAACAAGTGGAATCCAAAGCCAAGTTCTGAAAACCCTTTTCCAAAACACATTCAAATGACAACAACTATACATTTGTTCACCATTTCATTTCTCGCTTTGATGGGCATCATTATGATCACTAGTGCATGTTGATGGATAACTTTCTCTCATACCTAAGGAGTATTGGATCATTGTTGAATAAAGAGTTCCTTAGCTACTTGTAAATGCAACTGATGCACACAAGATAAAAGTAAACAACTAAAAGTTGAGGGATTTAAAGGCCAAAAATGATCTCTTTCGCTCAGGCAATCGAAAGAGTTGTGCTTGAAATGACTATATTTAACACATTAAGGAGACATCAAAACATATTTGGAATTCTCTAAAGAAGAAATATCAGGGGAATGCTAGAGCTAAAAGACAACCGTTATAATGTCTCAATATATGGTGAGTTTGAGACGGTGCCAATGAAGCCAGATGAAACTGTTTCAAATTACTTCTCTAGCTATGGCAATTACATACAAACTCAATTTTTAGTGATAACGTTAAAGATTTCATCATCATTATTGAAGAAGGTGTTTAGATCCTTGACAAAAAAATTCAATTTTGTTGTAGCCATAACAGCGTCTCATGCTCGGGACTAAATGACTATTGATGAGTTACAAAACTCATTTCAAATATATAAGAGCAAGATTAAAAGACAAGAGAAGGAGGAGCAATTATTGTAGGCTCCAACACAAGCTCTGCAAGCAAGTGGATAGGTGTTCATGGTTCAGTTTTAAAAAAAAAAAAACTACCTGGTCCTTCTTCAGCCATTGGTTTAGGAATAGAGTGTTGAGCTGAAACTGAGGTGGAAGTACCCTCCTATTCCTGTCTTTCTTGTTCAAGCTTCCTTTGCCGCCTTCTTTTTTAGGAATAGAGTGTTGAGCTGAAACTGAGGTGGAAGTACCCTCCTATTCCTGTCTTTCTTGTTCAAGCTTCCTTTGCCGCCTTCTTTTTCTATTAGTTTTCCTAGCTGTTTTCTCAATCTCTGGATCAAATAGCAAATGCTCAGCAGGAATCACAAACTATCTTGACACAAGTCCCCAACAACGGCGCAAGAAACTTGTTGGTATTCTGGGCAAGCGCACCCAAGTCTCTGTAATATAGTTAAAAGGTTGTCGATCCTTAAGGACTTGTGAAGTAAGCTATGATTTCTATTATACTAATTGATGCTTGTGAATTTAAAACTTGAGTAATTACACATGTTCGAAATTTGATGTGGATGATAGATCAAACTTAAGTAACCAAAGGATAATTTAATTTGAAGGAAAACAGATACGAGAAACAGTTTGGGATTAAATTCATCAATCTCCCTCCTATGTATTCCTATTGATTCTTTCTAAAGATTCCATTACTCATTGCCATTGAGTTCTCTAAATTCATTCAGACCCAATCCCTTGGCATAAGAAATTCTAAGATATTTAACTCAATGAATGATTCATCACTTCATTCAGTTAAATATCCCGCATTAAGAGTCACTACAAAAAAAAATTGCATTTAGCGACCACCAAAATCGGTCGCTAAATTGCTAAAATCGGTCGCTATTTGCCTTAGCGACCGAATTTAAGTAGTCGCACAAATCTTAGTCGCAAAGCTATATAGCGACCAAAAAAATTTTAGTCGCTATTTAGCGACCGAAAATTTTGGTTTAGCAACCGAAAATTTCGGTCGCAAAATGGTTGCAATGATTTTGGTCGCTGATGTGTATGGGGACCAAATTAGTGACAGAATAAATCGGTCGCTAAAGATTTATTTTTTATTTTATTAAATTTTATAGACGTTGCAAATTTGGTCGCTACGAAATACTCATATTTGGCCTCTCAAGGATTTTATTTCACAACACTCCACTTTTCAGCATGTTTAGATTAATTCTATCTTATAATTTTTATTTATTAAGCTAATGGAACATTAATTATATTTTATCAATTTTAGATTTGCTTAATAATTTTTTATTAATCCTTATATAAGCCAATTAATTTTAATTTAATGGAACTAACATGTTTATATAAATTGAACTAGATGTTTAAGTCAATTTTAAAAATAATAATGAAAATAAAATAAGATTTATGAAAATAAGTTTATTTATCTTAACAAAATTGGAAAGCACAATAAATTATGTATTTTCATATTATCTAATAATGTAATAAAATATTAAGCATGGTAAAAGAGAAATAAATTTCTCAAGAGAAAAATAAATAAATTTTCTAGATAAATTATTATTTAAATTAGTCTAATTTTTTTAAAAAAGATTCAATTAAAAAGATTATTATTTAATTTTCTTTTATAGCATTATGTTTCTCATTTTTT